AGTGATTCTGGGAGTCCAGGGGGTAATGGGGGTGCAGGGGGGTGGGAGTCACTCTCTCCTGCCCAACCTGGGCCACAGGGCACTTGTACTGGGCTGTGCTGAAGAGGCAGATATCGGCATACTGCCGCACTGGGGGAGAGAAACGGGCAGGGCGCAACGGTCAGGCTTAGAGGAGCCCAGCTGGGACCCCTAGGGGCAAAAACTGCACCCCCCCCAGCCCCAACCTCACCGGAGACCTTGACCTTCTTCACGCTCTTGCTGGAGTTGTTGGTGACGTGGACGTTAACACTGATGGGCTCCCCGTGGTAGTACAGCTGGGGAAGGAAGCACAGGGGTCAAGATCCCAAGACCCCCTCAATGCCCTCACTCCACACTTACAGCCCCCTGTACCCCCCAGCCCAGCCGGTGTCCCTCACTCCCAACCCGCAGCCCCACCTCCTTGTCCAGCGAGGCCTCCAGGTGCAGGGACCGGTCAGACATGAGGAAGTGCCGGGTGGTCTCAGCTGTGGGCTGTGGCCCGGAGGTCTCGGGGGCAAACTGGACTTTCCTGATCACCAGGCGCACCGAGTTCCTGGGTGAGGGGAGGAAAGAGGAGGGGGCTGGGAGCCTGGACACCTGGGTTCATCCCCCCCACGAGCACCGGTGCACCCCCTGGCCGGTCACACAAGCACCGGCCAATCACTCCCAGCCGCTTCTGGGACCCACCCCCCCGGCAGTGAGACAAACCGTGGGGGGACGCCCCCTGTTGGTGGGACTAGTCACGGGGAGGCATGTGCCACCCCAACTAAGGTGACACCAGTTGCCCATGCTGGGAGGTGTGAGCAGCAGGGGATGGTAGCCCCTTACCTCTTGTGAATCTTTTCCTCCAAGGATTTGGCACAGAAAGCTCTGATCTCATAGTCGACCCCACAGGCCTGGAGGGGGGAGACCCTGTTAATGCCAGTGCCCCTCACTCCCAACCTGCAGCCCCCTGCCCACCCAGGCCTGCGGGTGCCCCTCACTCCTGACCCACAGCCCCTACCTTGCCCGTGTCCTCAGGCCCTGGCTGCAGCGTCACCGAACATGGCAGATTGGGGGGTATCTGGGGGGGGGAGGCAGAAACAGTTAAACAGGGTGGTCCCTGGGGGCTGGTTTGGGGTTTGCGGAGGCCACTCACTTTAAAGGCGAAGGGGTGGGCTCGGGGGCCCAGCTTGCGCAGCAGACGGTCCTGCAGGCGGGTGGGGGTGAGTGGGGGGGGTGCAGGGGGGGGGGCAGGCTGGAGTGCCTCCGAGAACACGT